GGGCTCGCCCTATCTTAGATCCCACAAGGCCCGCACATCCTTGTGGTCCTTTCTTACTTAAGCAAGTTCAGTTATCTGTACCTGCACCCCACCGAGAGTTCCCCACCCCAAAGCACCCTGATATATACCGGCCTGGAACAGCCAGAGGAGCCCCAGCACCCAGGTGGAAAGGCATCTTACAGACCAGCCAAGGCAGTGGTTCCAGTGGAGCCACAGGAGCACCCAACTCCAGGGATATTCCCACAGAACTAGGGGCTGGTAGATGGTTTTATTACACAAACAGTGCAGAAGCCCAGTATGTGAGAGAGACAATGAATACATTACACCTGTATGTACTGTTATGTTTAATGTTTACATTCATGTTTATCAAGCTAGATAGTACATAAACACAGTTTTAAAACCAAACAAATACAAAGGGATATAGAATGAAATGTAGGCTTCCCTCACACCCCTGTTCTGCCTTCTGATTTCCTTTCCCACAATCAACCAGCAACCAGTTTTTCAGATACCCTTCCAGAGATTAAAAAAAATAGTTTTATATACATATCTTTTCTCTTTCACAAGTGGCAGTAACATATACTGTTCTGCAGCTTCCTTTTCACACTAATATTGTCTTGGAGATTGTCCCAGCTCAAAATGTGTAATAACAGCCCCATAGTATTCCATTGCCTGAATGTGTACTTTCTTTTTTTTTTAAAGTTATACAAAATCATCACAGCCAAAAGGAGGCTAACGAGACATGATGACTTGATGTCCTATGATCTTCTGGGACAGAAGAAAGATATAAAGTGAAAACTAAGGAAATACAAATAAAGCACAGACTTTAGCTATTAAAGTATCAATCTTGGTTCATTAACAAGTTTACCATACTAGGGAGTTCCCTGGTGGCCTAGTGGTTAGGATTCCGGGCTTTTAATGCCAGGCGGGGTTCAATCCCTAGTCGGGGAACTGAGATCCCACAAGCCGTGCAGTGCAGCAACAAAATAAACAAAACAAAACAAAACAAAACCAAAAAGGTACACCATACTAATGTCAGATGTTGATAATGGGGACATTTGGGTGTGGGGTTTATGAGAGCCCTGTACAATCTTCACAACTTTTCTGCACGTTTAAACCTGTTCTAAAAATGTTTATTTTAAAAAAATTTAAAAACATACAGATGTTGAGATTAACAAAGTATCACTTCATGCAAAAGCCTTACTGACTGCCTAATAGTGCTGGGTCATTATGTAGGTTCCTTAGTCAAACGAGGGAAGTAAAAGTACTTCCCTGAGGGAATATGAGAATTGTTTTACATTTTCAAAGGGCTGTTTGAGATAAAAATGGTGGAACCACTGGCCTAGTCCCCACCCTGTCAGTTTACCAGGGGGCAACAGAGGCTAGAAAAAGTGTGACTCGTGCCCGGTCACAGACTATCACCTCAGGTTCTTCCAAGCCCCACGCAGGCACCGGGCTGGTTGGCACTCGCTGCCCACACTGGGCGAATACCTCCCGGGTCTGCTGGGTCAGCAGTGGGAAAGACGTCCAGCCGTGTCCTCCCTCCTGGGAGGTAATTTCATTTTAACAGGCTGACATACAAGCTGAAGGAAAGACGCTCTAACGATGGATGTCAGGCACTGGTTAGCAGGGGAAGCCTCTTAGGACCCTTGGCATCCCTCCCCTTGATGCCTCCCTCCCCTTGATGCCTCCTAGGAAGGCGGACTGGGCGCGGGCTCACAGGACCCCCGCGACCCCAGCGCTGCCTCCTGCGTCGGCGCCCTTCCCAGGGCTATCCGCGCCTTCACCACTAGAGGGAGCCGCGAGCGGCCCCACGGCGCCCGGCCGTTCCACCCCCAGGCCCGGCCCCTCACCGCAGCTCAGACTTCGCCAGGCGAGGCTCCGGCAAGCCTGGGCCCCTTCCAGTCCTCAGGCCTCAAGCCCGCTGCCCTCTGCCGCCCCGACCTCGTGCAGGTGCCCAGCACCCTGAACTTCACCGAGGGGCCCATGCTCAGATCCCTCTACCCAACCCTCTGAAAACCCTCCTGTGCTTCGGCTCCCATTTTATAAATTAGGACCCAAAGAGGGTAACAGTCATGCCCAGGGTGACACAGCTAACGTTTGGCAGAACGAGATGCCCAGGGGGCCTGGTTCTGACCTCCTTGCCTCAGGGGTTCTCCCTCAAAGGGTCTCAAACCCCCTCACTGTAGCCTTCTATCCAGGTGGGGAAACCGAGGCACAGGGCAGCGCTAGGTAGGGTATATACACTGTGTGGGGGTGGCTCAGTCTGCCAAGGGTAGGCAGGAGGCTACACTGGGAGGCCAGCCCCTTGACAGATGAACACAGCAGGAGAGCCGGTGGGGGGCGGAGGGTGCCAGCCTGCCCCAAGGGGGGGAAGGGGTGCAGATGCTGGTGACTCTCTCCTGTGGATGTGTGACAGCTGCAGCCTCGGGTGGGAGGCCAGAGACCCCACACGCTAAGAACTTTCACTCACTGCCTGAGGGCTAATCCCATTACTCTCCTGGACCCTCTGGGACCACCCTCCCTAACCCTCCCTAATCCCCTGCCTCCCTCTGGGAATGGTCCAAGGCCCTACCGTGGACCCCTGCCAACCTCAGTCTCCTGCAGACCTCACCCCCTCAGGCCCTATCAGCCGCCTGTGCCCACCCATGCCCAATTCCTGTGGAGGTCCGACCTCCTCCACCTGCCTCCCCTGCCAGCCCTGCCCCTGTCTGCCAGCCCCTAAGCTGCCTTCCCAAAATGGCCTCCAGCTGGGCTCCAGGTTTTGTGAGCCTCCTTGCCCTTCCCAAGCAGGCTTCTGTTTTAGTTTCTGTTGAAGGAATCATCAGGTGAGCGCTTGGGTCCACAGTGTTTTCATCTGTAAAATGATGCTGATCTGATGATACGGTGAGATGCCATATAATAGCAAGTGTTTAGTGCAGCACCTGGCACGAGGGAAAACCCCAAGGTGTCAGTTGCTGATGTAATTACCATCAGTGGGACGGATATGTCAGCTATGCAAGGGGAGTGGATGTATTCTGTTACCAGAAGGCAGCTCCATGGCCTGGGGGCAGATGTTAGAGGGAGGTAGATATGACTCAGGTACCCTGTCCTCACACTAGTGATAGGAGCCACTATGTACACTGGGTATTGGGCTCTTCCTGTAGGCTAGGTTAAGCCTCTCCATCCCCTCATGAGGTAGGTACTATCCATACCCCCATTTTGCAGTTTGGAAACTAAAGTTAAGAGACAGCTGGGAATTCCCTGGTGGTCCAGTGGTTAGGTAGGTCTCTGCACTTTCACTGATGAGGTAACGGGTTTGATCCCTGGTCAGGGAACTAAGATCCCACAAGCCGTGTGGGACAGCCAAAAAAAACCCCCAAAAACAAAAGGCGGCTATGAAGTGGTGGAGCTGGAATCAAACACAGCTCTGACTCCAGAATTCTTTGCAGTATTCTACTGCTTTTCAGGGTCCACTTCAATGAAAGCTGATGTTTGAGAGATGCCCACCCCCCAAAAGGTAATGGGCTTCCCATTTGCCAGAAGCATTCAAGGCAATGCTAAGGGACAACCAGTCAGGAGCCCTGAGGTTCCATTACAGGCCCCAATCCCCCCAGTGTCCCCAGCCTCCTGTTTCCAGGGCAGGCCAGGCCAGGTCACTGCCCCCTCCCCAGCCTGGGCACAGGAGGGGCCCCCTTTGGCCCTCAGCCTCCCTCTCTCCTACCTTCTGCTGCTCCTCATTTACATAAATTATCTCTCCCCAATTATCCATCCAGCTGTCCCAACTGTGACCTGTGAATGAATTAAAAACGGGATATAATTTAATAATGGCTGATTAGAAGGAGATTAGTTGTTATATAAAAAGGAAAAGCCAAGAGCCAGCTAGTTGCCCTTAATCTGAGCCAATACCATCGTTATTCGGGAAAGGCTACCCTGGCCATCATCAGGCAAGGCAGGCATGAGGATGAGGGTTAGGGGAGAGCCCAGGTGGGGCCAGACCATCCCAGAGAGAAGACCAGGGTACTGGGAGCTGGGAAGTTGAGTCCCAGGCAACTCCTGTTACTTCCCTGGGCCTTGCTCCGTCCTTCTAAGTGGGCTTGGGTAGTTTCTGGGGCCCCTTCTTGCTCTAAAGTCTAGATGCCCTCAAATCAAACCACTGGGCTTTCCCAAGGCAGCCACTGCCTCCACAACAGAGCCTGCCCAGCCCCTGCTGGCGTAAGAACTGGGGGTTCAAGAGTCTGGTGCCTCCTAGGAACACACAGCAGCTGGGGATGCGGACCTCCCCAGGAGGGGACCCGGCTGTCTGGGGTAAGTGATAGAGAAGGGACTGGGGTTGGTTGCACCAGGAAGGCTCCATGGAGGAGAGACTGACTGAAACAAAGAGTGTGTGAGTGCCCAGCAGGATCTCTGGGCCCCCTTGCCCTCAGGTGAATGACTGGATGTAGTGGCAAGGACATGTCTCCGAGATTCCCAGTCACCCTTTCAGCCTCAGCTCACGTGCACCTCCTCCAGGAAGCCCGCCCTTGATCTCCCCAGCTTTGTGGTCTCCCCAGTGCTCCCATATTTGTCCACCTGCTAATGGTGTCCATCTGCTTATGGGGCATTTCTGTCCCCGTCTGTGAGTTCCTCAAGGCCAGGGGCCAGCTTTTTATCTTTACGCCACCAGTGCCAGGTACACAATTTTTGCTCAACAACATCATTGAATAAATAAAGATACCTCCTCCAGAAAGCCTTCTGTGATTGCCCGAGTGTGGGTTCTGTGCTCACAACGTACACTGTGATTATGCCTTTAAAAGTAAGGTAAGTCGGGCTCAGGACAGACAGAAGCTCAGGGAGGAGGAGGGGGGTGACTAGAAACTTGGAGGAGGAGCTTGAGCGCCAGCCGCTGTCCCAGTTCTGCCAGCAATCGAGTCTAAGTGTTTGGTTATTACCCTACCGCAGTACGTGCGTGGGCCGCGGTACTAGAGTGGCCAGTGGCTTGCTTGCCCGGCAGGAGTACCTGCGCGCGCTATCGGCAGCAGGGAATGGAAGCGGAGGACGCAGGCATCTATTCCCTCCAGCAAGCGCAAGCTTTTTATACGTTTCCATTCCAACAAAAGATCACTGAAGTTCCTAGTATGGCACTTATGAATGAACAAGAAATGCCAGCAGAAGTTCCAGCCCCAGCTCCTGCTCAGGAACCCACACAAGAGACTCCAAAAGGAAAACCCAAAACAACAGAACCAAAAACTCCAGTGGAACCCAAAAAACCTGCTGAGGCCAAAAAATCTGGCAAGTCCACAAAATCAAAAGAAAAGCAAGAAAAAATTACAGACACATTTAAAGTGAAAAGTAGACCAGTTCAATAGTGTTTCAGAAGCTGAACTTTTGACCAAGACTCTACCAGACATTTTGACCTTCAATCTGGACATTGTGATTATTGGCATAAACCCAGGACTAATGGCTGCTTACAAAGGGCATCATTACCCTGGACATGGAAACCATTTTTGGAAGTGGCTGTTTATGTCAGGGCTGAGTGAGGTCCAACTGAATCACATGGATGATCACACTTTACCAGGGAAATAGGGTATTGGATTTACCAATATGGTGGCAAGGATAACACCAGGCAGCAAGGACCTTTCCGGTAAAGAATTTTGTGAAGGAGGACGTATTCTAGTGCAGAAATTACAGAAATATCAGCCACGAATAGCAGTGTTTAATGGAAACTGTATTTATGAAATTTTTAGTAAGGAAGTTTTTGGAGTAAAAGTTAAGAACTTAGAATTAGGACTTCAACTGCATAAGATCCCAGACACAGAAACTCTCTGCTATGCTATGCCATCATCCAGTGCAAGATGTGCTCAGTTTCCTCGAGCCCAGGACAAAGTTCATTACTACGTTAAGCTGAAGGACTTAAGAGATCAGTTGAAAGTCAGTGAGCGAAACACAGACATTCAAGAGGTGCAATATACATTTGACCTGCGGCTAGCCCAAGAGGATGCAAAGAAGATGGCTGTGAAGGAAGAAAAATATGATCTGGGTTATGAAGCAGCATGCGGTGGTGCTTATAGTGAAAATCCATGCAGTAGTGAACCTTGCAGCTTCTCTTCAAATGGGCTGACAGCTGACAGTGGAGAATCAACTTTCAGTGACATTCCAGAAGGGCAGTGGATGACCCAGTCATTTACAGACCAGATTCCTTCCTTTAATAATCACTGTGCGATGCAAGAACAGGAAGAAGGAAACCATGCTTAAGAATGGTGTTTCTGGGCTTCCCTGGTGGCGCAGTGGTTGAGAGTCCGCCTGCCGATGCAGGGGACACGGGTTCGTGCCCCGGTCCGGGAAGATCCCACATGCTGCGGAGCGGCTGGGCCCGTGAGCCATGGCCGCTGAGCCTGCGCGTCCAGAGCCTGTGCGTCCAGAGCCTGTGCTCCTCAATGGGAGAGGCCGCAACAGTGAGAAACCCGCGTACCGCACAAAAAAAAAAAAAAAAGAATGGTGTTTCTCAGCCCTGCTTAAATGCTACAGTTTTAATGCAGTTGTCAAGAAGCGGCCCTCGGTTTGTTAACTGAAGTATTTTATTCATATTTTACTCTGGTGATGTAATCATGGTACAGTAGAATCAACTGTACAGACCTAAGTAGTTTGGAAGGAGAAAGTAGAGTTCTTTGCGTATGAGTTTCTATATTGGAATTAATCATCATTCCAGCTATTTATAAACTATCTTTCATTTATGAAGAAATTGATTTTCTTTTGGGAGTCACTTTTAACCTGTAATTTAAAAATGCAAGAGTCTGCATATTTACACTTGATTATTAACTGTGCGTAAACTTAGATGCACCGTTATCCCTTTCATACGTAAGAAGGGCATGCTAATGATAAGATTCCCACCGGTAAAGAGGCAAATGTGCTGATTTTCATCTGTGAGGTTAACCCTCAGTGGAGTCTCATTTGGTAGTTCTTAGTGGTGTTTGATGGGCTTCCTTGTTGTATTCACACTGAGACCTCCTTGCTTTACCAGTGGTGAGCATCTGTGAGAGTTGCTTGGTAGTAGAGTTGGAGAGTATGGCCTTGCAGCAGCAAGGCTAACCCAGCCTTACCTTTCAGGGCCATGAGCCCTGGCTTTGGCCCTCTCACCCCCATGTGCTGGTCCTCTAGTAGACAGAAACTATGCTGCTGGGATGGTAAGTTCCAGAGAGTGCAGAAGACCTTTTAAATTTTGCTACTTCATCTGTGTTTTACTTGAGAGACATACATTTGATAGGGAAGGAACTGAATTTCTCAGTATCTATCACCATTCAAATTTTATCCTCCTTGGCTTTAAGCATGTAACATGGAAATGATGAGAAATGAACTTTCAGGTTGAGTAACAAGATGCTGGAGGAGTTTGATAATCTTATTTAAACTGGTGCTTTATATACATGAGATGTACTAAAATAAATAATACAGGATTTTTCTTGCTAGGTAAATCGAATAAGCCAGTAATTTAAAAAAATTCTTTCTCTTCATCATTGCTATTTGTTACTGTGGACTAAGTGAACCTCGTGGCCAGGTTACTTTGAAGTAATGTATCTTTGTGATTTTCTAATGCATTTTCCATGGTGCTACAAATAGTCCAGACTACTAGGCCTGGTGGATATCAAAGCTGGGTATTTAGAAATGCCAGTTGCATTTACTTCTGATCACCTCTGAATATTCTGATTTTATACCTACCCAGGGAGCATATTGTTTCTTGATATGAAAATATTTATGAGGTTTTGTTTTTTTTCTAAAAGGTTATATAGCCTGTTTTTTTTGTAATAAGAGATACAAATTATTGCTGTGAATGTTCACATGCTTTTTTAGCTGTAGCTATGATGGATTTAATTTTTCCTTTAGTCTAGGTAAAGCTGTGTAAAAGTCATTCATGTTATTTAAATCACATCCTGTACTGCTGTTTACATGGATGTTTTGTGCAGGTGCTTTGAAGTGCCTTGCATCAGGGATTAGGAACAATTTAATTATTTTTTCATGGGACTATGTAAAGCATGTAACTAGGTATTGCTTTGGTTCCTAACGATTATAGCCTTACATAGATTCCTTTTTTTTTTGAGTGGAGAAAATACCCTTTAAATTATGACGGACACTCACTAGAGAATGGGTTTGAAGATTTTTTTCAAGTGTACAGTAATGGTGTTTTTCATTAAATATGACAGATGGATGGTAAATGTTGATATGCCCTATACACAACAATATGAGACTTTTTCATTAAATAATATTTTAAAAGTTTTTAAATTCATTTGAAACTCTGATGGTTTTTACAATAAAAAATATTGAAGATGGAAAAAAAAAAATAAGGTAAGTCACAGGATTTCCCTAGTGGCCTAGTGGTTAGGATTCCGGGCTTTCACTACCGTGGCCCGGGTTCAATCCCTGGTCAGGGAACTGAGATCCCGCAAGCAACGCAACGCGGCCAATAAATAAATAAATAAATAAATAAATAAATAAATAAATAAGGCAAGCCACTTATGGAGAAGTAATATACATAGACCAATAGTTATAGATAAAAATGGATGGATAGACAGAGAGCTCGGAGTCAGACTGCCTGTATATGAACCCCAGGTCCACTACTTCTGACCGCATGACCTTGGGTTCTTCCCAAGGTCTCTTGTACTGTGCCTCAGTTTCCTCGTCTATACAATGGATGTATTTAATATTTCCTACCTCGTACGGTTTTGTTTTTTAATTGGTCACGCCACGCGGCATGTGAGATCTTAGTTTCCCAACCAGAGATCGAACCCGCACCCCCTGCATTGGAAGCGCAGAGTCTTAACCACTGGACTGCCAGGGAAGTCCCCCTCATAGGGTTTTTATGAGGACGACATGGGTGAATAGAGAAAAGCACTTACAACTGTGCAGGGTACGTAGTGAGCAATTGGTAAGCACTTGTGGGTGTTGCAGTGCATGTCACACTATTTGGTTTTCTTGCCAGTGGTGGGATCTCTGAAAACAGGACTGGACTTCTCATCTCTGTTGATGGGGTTGGATGGACAGACAGGCCTGCACGGGGCTATCTCAGCAGTCCTGGCTGCTGCTTTCACACTGAAAGTTCCAAGGGGGCACACGTTGGGCAGGACCAGCACATTTCTCCCACCATTGATGGAGGATCTGCTCAGTGTCAGACCCAGAGTCCCAGCCCTTCCCAAAGAGGCTCACAGCTTTGCGGAGAGCAACACACCCATGAAAGGGGTCTGACCTCATGGTTCAGGTCTGGGCCATGTGTCCCACGTGGTCAGCTTCAGAGGATGTCTGCCAGGCCTGAGCTTGTATGAAGGGGCCAAGCCCCTGGAGGAAACAGGCATGCTGACCAGGGAGGGAAAGCTAGAGTCCTCTGCAGCAGCTGACTTAGGGCCATCAAGGAGCGGACGACAAAGGGAGCACGGTCTGCAGTGCCAGAGGCTGGGAACGGTTCGGGTAGATTCCAGAAAATGTTGATTTCCTCAGAACATAAGGAGGCGTAAGGTGTATGCGTGCACAGTAAGTGTTTGCCGACTGGCAAACTGAGCTGCTCCAGAAATTTTCAAACATTCCCAGTTATGAACATCTTGATTCCTTATGCGTGGGGAGGTGCCTGGGAATCTGTATATTTGACAAGACCTTAGGTAAGTCTCATGAACAGGGAGTTTCGTCTGCCATCCCATCCTCCAGGCCCGGGAGCTGCAGTGCCCTCGGAGAACAGGGCTGACTGTGACCTCACCTTGCCCAGCACCCTCTGACATCCCATCGAGCCCCTACTCCACTCATACCCAGCCCAGGACAACCTCCCTGGTGGAGCCCAGAGCATATCTGTCCATACTGCAGCAGGAGGCCTCCCAGGCCAGCCTGGGCTGTGGGATAATTTGATATTCAAATCCTGGCAAAGACCTGCTTTAAATTGCTGCAAATTAAGCTGATTTTGTCCCTCCGAATGAGGGATTTGCTCCTGTGGATCAACCCTTCCGAGGACTTGATGAGGTCAGGATTAGAGCCGGAGGGCCGGAGAGAAAAGCCTGAGGTGGGAGGCTGGAGAGCTGCTTCTTGGTGGGAGGGCGAGCCCGGCCTCTGTGTGTCTCTCCCCAGCCCCGGAGTTAGGGAAGTTTCCCAGAGTCTCAAAACTCAGCTCTTCACAGTGATGAGGGGTCTCTGGGCCCCTGAGGGGCCAGCCTTGCCGCCCCTGGCCCCATCCTCAGGAGAGCCCAGCCCTGTAAAATTCCCAGAGTGGACCACATCTCATCTTTCCAAGCATCTGAGAGCCAGGGCCCAACTGATCACCCCCATTTCACCGATGAGGAAACGGAGGCTCCGAGAGGTGAGATGAGGCTCTGCTGGCCAAAGACAACCTGGACTCAACCTCTGCCACCAGGTTGCTGTGTGACCTTGAGCAAAGGGCCTCTGTGAGCCTCCTCGTAAGGATTACTGACAATGCGTGCACAGCGCCAGACACGTGGCAAGCACGCCATTGAGCATCGGCCAAGGTTACTACCCACACAGCAAGCACAGGCCAAGGCCCTGAAGCTAGGAAGCGGCAGAACAGGGATTAGGACCCGGCCTCTCTGGCCTGACTGAGTCACCCCCCCCTACCCCCACCCCCACCCCCCAC